AGACCACTTGGTTTGAGCCCTAGGTGGTGAATCAAGGGTCACACAAATGCATATTTCCTTCCTTCGATTATGATAACTATAGGTCCCTAGGTTGTGGCTTTTCTGATACCTTTGTTATTTGTGTATCAAATAACGCCATAATCGTATCTATACAATTCGGCATCATGTTCTCCGGTCAGTATGCATCATCTAACAAACATATATGAAATAACTGGTTCTCAGCACCCCCAAAGAAGAAAATAAGTTTGTTTGGAAAGCTTTGGGAAAATTGGTGTGGGTTAGATATGTCAGTCTACACAAGAGTGGTCTGGGGGACCTCCATATGGGAGGAAAATGGACCATGTTACTAACTGGAGGAGGAACCAGGAAGTGTTGCAGAGGCAATACATGGAACACCATCAGGAAAGACACCATAGCACAACACAAGATATAAATTATCAAGTTTGGAGGTACTTTCTAAGGGCCCATTTACACCAGATCATCTCCAGACCAGATTGTTTCTGGACTCAAAATGCATCCTAATGTATCCCAATGCTATTTCTGGCCTCTGTCCACACAGCGCAGTCTGATCCAGACCAGAAAAAAACTGCATGTCTCATTTTGTCTGATCCTGAATGCACTGTGGGCAGGTTCAAACCATTTTCCGGATCAGATCTGGACCGGGAAATGGTGCTTCTACCCCTAAAGCCAGAGTGGAAACTGGTCTTATGCCAGAAGTGGACAAATTAATATGAAATTTAGGAGCCAGCCTGTACAATCCAGGAGCCAGCTGGATTTTTATTTTAACGCATCAACTCCATTAATCTCCCTGGCGGTCTGATTATTTCAGGGTTTTTTTTTCACTTTTAAATCTCCCGCCGGTTCCGCCCCCTGCGACACGGGCACTCGCAAGGGTAGCGAAAACGGATGCCGGCATCGGCCGGAGGACAAGGTAAGTTACACACAGTGGGATTACCGGTTTTGGTACTAAAAATTAACCCCGAGCCACACTCAGGAATACCGCCAGGGAGGTTAGCAGCAACTAAAGAAAACCTGAAAAGTTAGGCACCAGCTGCAATTTTTAAGGAGCATTGGCTACATGGCTCCTGGGGTTTGTCTGGCCATGTCTTATGCCAAATGCAGCCAACCAAACATTGCTTTTCATTCATCCATTCTGAACTGGGAAAACGTATTTGTTATCAGGGAGAACAAGTACAGTTACTTGGTCCAATCTACATCAATGTTATGCCTAAACAGGTAAATGTTTACTACTACTATGCAACTAAAATTGTTCAGTCTTCTTGTAAGATAGGTTATATGGCGCATTCTCTAATCAAAAAGGCTAAGTACATAGTTCCCAATTTTAGAAATTGTTCAAGGTTTTCAGCCAGAATGTGGTTACTGAAACCTTCTCCCCCACCCCCCACCCCACCCATATACAGTAACAGGCTTTATAGCGCAAAACTTGATCGCATATATTTAACACTGCCTATATCTGTAGTTGGGCTATCCCACTGTCAAATATTGTCTCTGAAGCTACAAGCCCAACTCCAGGGTAGTATTTTAGTGTCCCCCTGGGCCAAAAATAATAACAATATCTGGCTGAAATACTCACAGAAACCCACTGCAGTACCTCTTCTTCGCCACAAGATGTCCTCAGTCTTCCGGGTTGATAAACTGGAAAGACTAAGGAAGGACTTGGAGCGCAGGCACTGCCCCCTGAACACAGCACCCTGCACTGATGCAGAGCATGGCGCTGATGACATCAAGTTTATGGCACTATTGCTTCAATTATATAGAAAATTCCTACCGGGGCATCTTTCTAACCCTAAACACAATCAAGAGGCCAAACCGAGAGATCCCAATTCTATTGTTTCTCTACAAATGTTCTTTTGTACCAGTGTGGAGAATCACCCTCGCTTGATATGAAAGTGTCACCTGTCACCAGAACAGAAAGGGCTCTATCACACCCGCTGCATGGGGGTGGCATTGTTCCCCATTGATAAACGCAGGATTAACTCAAGGCCACAAATGGTTGTCCATGTGCCCTGTTCACACCACAAATATGCAGCGGCATGCATTGTAAAAAAAAACGTAGCATGTCTACATGTTTTATACAGCACAATGCATGTTGCAATGCACTATGCACTCCAGAACATAATGCACACCCACTGGGGCAGATGGGCCCAAAGTGAGGGAAAATCCAAAAGTTGACAACTGTCACCAGAACAGGAGGTGAAGTAAAATCTTACTATTGGGTCACATGTTGCATTAGCAGTTCTCGTAGGCAAAATTTCCTCTCAGTTTAGGAAAATTTACTCTTACTTCCTGTATTGTTTGAGGGGCAGGAAGTGAGGAGAAATCTCTAAAGGAGAAACAGCAAATAAGCCTAAAGCGGACCTTTACACTCAAAAATCAAATTCTACCAATGCATCCCACTATGTATGATGATTATTAATAGCATAGACATGTAAAATGGTGTGATTAGGAAATACTTACACTTGCAGAGCATTCACTTCCTGCTTTGAAAGGGCAAAATGACTTCAGTTAGCCAAAACAATGCACACTGGGATTGCCTTGTCATCAGCAGAGCATTGCTGGGAAATCTCACGAGATCTCAGGGAAAGGCATTTTCCTCCCCTGAGATAATGTACATGGTCACATGCCTTTGTCACATGTCTAGTCACATGTTCCAGAAATTCAGGAATAGGAGAGCTAGTAATCTGTCCTTAGTAAACATGGCCACTGTCGGAAGACTGGGAAAGAAAAGAGAAATAAGGTATGCAAAGAATACAAAGCCCACAATTACCTAGACGTCTGTGTTTAGAGATTGTCATTACTAAACATTTCTAAAAGGTGTGTTTGTTGTCATTTTAAAGCCGTCGTGTTAAAGCTTAATACTTTCACAGACCCCAGAGGTTTGCATTAAAGTGTATCCAAAGATTAGGGAAGGGTTAGAGCCAGTCAGCTGTTCCTGCTGCTGAAAGTCACAAGCCCCATTTGTCCTGGTGACCACTACCACAGGAGTGGGCAAAATCATTTGAAAGCGGGTCTGCCTAATCCAAGCGCCAGCTCCATTGACAAAAACTACAGAGAACCTCAAAAGTTTGGTGCCGGCTGTCATTTTTCAGGAGCATCGGCTACCTGGCTCCTGGGATTTGTCCAGCCCGGCTTTACCAATGGGACTGAAAGTAGAAGAAAAATCTAAAGTTTTAGTTGTCACCAGCCCTTGGATGACACCATCCAGTCCTATCCCTAAAAAGGGATTTCCCTCACTTAGTAGAGATTTCCTCTCACATCTACCCGATAGGACACATATAAAAACCCAACCTCTACCTAAAAAGGAAAAAAAAAGTTTTGGCTTTAGATAAACTTTATACAATTCTGTTGCGATTGTTGGAAAAAAAGCAGAATAGAATACTTCCCTGTCCCGCCTCCCGCACTGCTGATATTTGTGCTCACAAAGAGAGAAGCCTGTTGAAGAATCTTCTGGATGTGTTGGATGCCGGTGTCCTGGCTGTGGGCTATGGTTCCTTCCATCAGTCCTATGGCATTGTGGAGTCCTGTAATGACATACAAGCCAGCAGAAGGAACCAACTCAGGACACCAGGGATCCGACACATCCGGAAGGGAAGACTCCATAACAAGCTCATCCCTTCTGGCAACATGGGCAGCAGGACAGAAGTGTTCTCCTCTTTACCGGCAGACCTGGTTTTATTACAATAAAGACAATGGTTTCTAATGGTGGGAAAAAGTCCTTCATACAATACATGCTGTGCAGGCTTATGTCATGGACCACAAACATAAACGTGTGACATCTGTGCAGTCATATCCCATGCTTGGTGACTGTATGGGCCTGCAGAATTGAATGGCACATGTGCATAGCACACATGCTAGAGGCCAATCTCATGCGTGTGACAACCCACATGCTAAAGGCCAATCTCATGCGTGTGACAACCCACGTGCTAAAGGCCAATCTCATGCGTGTGACAACCCACATGCTAAAGGCCAATCTCATGCGTGTGACAACCCACATGCTAAAGGCCAATCTCATGTGTGTGACAACCCACATGCTAAAGGCCAATCTCATGTGTATGACAACCCACATGCTAAAAGGCCAATCTAATATGCATGACACCCCACATACTAAGGCCAATCTCATGTGCGTGACAGCCCACATACTAAGGCCAATCTCATGCGTGTGACAGCCCACATACTAAGAAAATCTCATGCGTGTGACAGCCCACATACTAAGGCCAATCTCATGTGCGTGACAACCCACATACTAAGGCCAATCACGTGTAGGACACGCCACATATTAAGGCCAATCTCATGTGTGACAAATCATACAGGGCAAATTAATCTACCAGCATGTCTTTGGAGTGTGGGAGGACACTGGAGTACCCGGAGAATACCCTAACAAGCACAAGAAGAACATGCAAACTCCATGCAGACCGTGCCCTGTCTGGGATTCTAACTGCTGCAAGGCTGGTGCTAACCACTAAGGCACTGTGCTGCCCAGAAAATGCAAACCACAGCAACCAATCAGATTTCTGCTTGCAATGAAAGAAGACTTTTGATTGGTTGCTATGGGTTATTTCACGTCCCAGCCCTGCCTAAGCAAGGTAGACCAGCACACTGCACGGCTTCCATGTGCATGGAGCAGACAAAGGTCAGAGAAAAGTGCGGTGACATGATATCACATCATCCGGAGACGGCCGGGTACATGTTGTGACATGACTGTGACAAGTGCCGGCCCCGGGATCCTGCGCTGCAGGTCAGTCTATTGCACTGCAGTGCCCCATCTACCCCAACCCTGCGATGTGCGGCATGGTGCAGGAGGAAACCTTGTGACAAAGCATCAGATGCCTGGGAAGGATGATGCACAAGGTAAGTGATCTGCTGCACTGGACGATGTCAGGGGATGACCCGACCTATTCCGCCATGCTGACCCTACTCCCTGCCTAGACGTCATGTGTGTCGGCACGATGGCTGCCTTTTATACCCCGCTCTCCAGTTACCTGGCTATCCCGGGCCGGGCTGCTCACACCTCCAACATTGACAAACACTAAAGAGAATGAGCGGCCACGCACCGCCCCCTCCCCTGACAGCAGTGGACTACACCAGGTCTCCGCGCAGGGAGAGCCCGCCTCATACCCGATACCCCTTCTCAGCAAAGCCGCTTATTTGACCAACACTTTTTAGAAAAGAACATTATCCCAAATGAATAAAACGTTTACCGTTGAAAAAGCTTCTAACGATGTTGATTTTACATCTGGTTTTGCCAAGGCCCCTAGAGGCCGGTTTAAGGAAGTGCAGCCAGAGATTTGGCTGAAGCCGAGAGAGGAAACAGAGAGCTATGGGATAAAGGAAAGGGGAGGAGGGGAGAAGTTACTGGAAGCAGTCACACATATCAAACAATTCTGCATGTAAATTACAATAGCCAGCATGATAAAAGGTCATTATGGGAACTCACAGAGATTTTCAATTGCATGGCTGGATTGCATGCACATGTTGTTTCCTAATGCACACCGTACACACCTAATGTAGTTCCATGTAGAGTCCCAGAGGACCGCGTTGCTCTATGACCCTGTCTGGATGAGAATACACTTTTCGGTATTAAAAAGTGTGATGCCACCTTTACAAAAGTTTTTAAAGCAGGATGTAACCAAAGCGGTGGATTCATTTTACCATGGCGCCTTGGCTTTTTTCAGTTCAGGGGCCCACTGTCAGTTATAGGGCCCATTCACACCACATGCGTTGGTCTGCATTGCTCAGCACAGGTCCGATGCAATAGCGAGCTGAAATCCATTGTTTCCAATTGGCTGCATTGGTGTGCGCTGAGTGGGAATAGAACATGATGCATATAAACGCGGCAAGTCGTTACCACGCATCACACCATGTTGCAACCCACGCTAAAGAAAGAAAAGTAATGTATTTTGGCTCCTGCTGTGAACAAAAAGCACAAACAACAATGCATTACATTAAAAAAAGAATTGTCAACGCACATTAACTGGTGAATTTAGTGAGCGTCAATGCACACTAAATGCAACGGAAGCGCCATGAATTTAGCCTAAGTGGATCATGTATGTGGGTCGGTGACACATTTATGGTTTTTTTTCTGTTTCTTTTTTTTAATTCTCTTTATTAAAACACGTTTTATGATAGAATACAAATCACAACCATCCATATGGGGCATTCCCATGGCCAAAATGAACAAGAGAAAACAAAAAATGAGCACAACCTGAATTAAAGAACATTTCAGTTTTGATTCTGACATGGTTTTGGGAACATGGAGTCAGAATGCAGTTTTTGGATTTTAAATTCGATATTAGGCGGTGATATATTCTTTGCAGATTGAAGGTGGCAAATAATGCTGAAATGAGGCTTCCAGGTTCGTGAATGGTGTCTACTTATTGCGTATGATTGTAGGAGGATGTTAAAGGAAACCTCTACTGAGCGCAGTACAAGGGGGGCGTGTCTATCAAGGATTCACCAAGAAATTCACCCAACTTTTGCCTGAGACTCACTTTAATATTTTTTTTATACCAACATTCAATTTTCTGTCTATCACCAAAAATGGTCCAACATTTGTATCCAACACGATTCGCCAAAGTAAAAATTGCATCAAAGAATAATTGTCGCCTGTTCTTCAATGACACCAATGCAAGGGGTCGTTATTAACCCACGTCCAATATTCAGCGCAGTGAGAACCATACCCATTTGTGCTGGGCATAGTTTCTTTTTCTTGACCAAGGGCCATCTTGCACACAGGCCCACATCATTCAAAAAACATTCTGCATTTGGAGGATGTGGATTTGAATAAAATTCATCGGATATTTGCCCAGCTTAAATGCCAAACTAGTCACCTGGTCTCAACTGGCAAATTATGTCTTAAAAGTGGTGTAAGGTTTGTGAACTGGTGATTTTCGGTAATTTGGCATGCGGTAGTCAGGTGACCCTCCTCTTTCTTAAAATCTCAGGTGGGTGCTGCAGTTTTTGTGAACTAGCATTGGTTTTGTATGGGAATGGTGGGAATGGCTTTCCTCCTATTGATGAAACTCCAGCATTACTGCATTTGGCAGGCTAGAATAGTGTGCCATCAGCTGATTGTGAGTTGCTGCCTTTGCTGAGGCTGAGGCATTCTCACTAGTTTGGAACTTAGGATTTTCCATGTGATTCTCTTTTTCTAAAGCTAAGTTGGTGAAGCGTTATCGCCTACCTTGGCCTGCCATGTAGAAACTGCTCCAGCTTGTAGGGAAGAATTTGGAGCCACAAACAAGGTGCACTGGACCTTTAATTGCTTTAGGGAAGGTCTCAGCTTTCCTCCATTTTGTAGGCAATGGCTCCTTCCTTAGCAACTAGTGATCAACTGGCACTTGGTGCAAACCCAGTTCGCCTGAGTTCACCCAAACCGGCTCAAAAATGTGACCGACATCCCCCCCCTTTGTGGTCCAATCAGTGAGATTCCGCATCCCTTTGTGACATATAGCTGCAGGGTGGGGAATAAGCCTGCTACAACGGATTGGGCTGGAAAGAGGGGGAGGGAGGTGTTGGCCAAAGTCTTGAGCGGGCTTGGGCAATATGGGTTCCACCAAACTCTAGTAAATCATTACTAGCAACAGCACAAGCTTTTAGAAAAAGCCAAAACTATTTTTCCTGGGCCAGGTGTTGGAGGCAACGTTACAACAAAAATGCTCCTTAATCCATTTGTCCACATCTGATGGCTACCAAACAGGCATTTACCACCTAACCCAGATCTCCTATGTGCTGGGTGCAATCGATTGCACCAATATACAAATTGTAATGCCACGTGTTATATAGAAAGCGCAAACACTTCCAATCAATAAACATTCAAGCTGTATGTGATCCACGTGTAGGTATTCTCAGTGTTAGCTCTGGCTTTTCTGGGAGCTGCCATAATTCATCTATTTTCAGGAGCTCCGGCCTGGTAGTAAAACTCCACCAAGTAGCAATGCCAGCGGGCTGGCTTGTGGGTAAGTGCACTTTCAAATGTAGCATTATCTGAACACTCAATAATGCAAGTAGTTATAGGTCAATCCTATATTTCATTTTCCAGTCACTTCCTGAACATCATGACCCGTGACATACCCAAACTGAAGCCACAGCAGTCCGCAGTTCCACATATTTGCTGCTTTTGTAAATTTCTTAAGATTGAATTCCCTACTCACTGTTTATCCTGACGTTTGTGGAAAAACAACCAACCCTTGGCCAAACTCCTATAAATACCCTTGGCCAAACTCCTATAAATATTAATGTCGCACCTATGATACTCCAAGAAAAGTGGGCAGTAATAAAGACGCTAAAACAGAAAAGTGTATGAAACTTCCCATAATTTTCCTTTCCTGGTGCCTATCTATGGCAGAATATCTTAAACGTTGGTCCCCCTACCTTCATGAAATGTTTGTTTTAAGATATGCAGCCATGTGGGCACTAGGAAATACATTTTGCCACAACAACCCTTCCATAAACATATCTGAGCCCACTCTCCAAGTTAATAGCATGTAAGTGTGGAGAAGACAGAGGTGGTTAGTTACTTTTGCACTTTATCTTCTTTTGTTGCATTTTCACATCACAAATAACACACATTATACAATCCATGTCTGTTTAATTGGCATCAGTCATGCTTTCCCGGTGTGTACTGTACCCCTGGATAAAGTGTTCTTGATGCCATTCCAGCATTTGTGGGTCCTCAATAGAGAGAAAAGCAAAGGCAAAAGTTCAACCGCCAGTCAGTGTTGTCCATACCTGCATACCTTTGCCAAGCTAGGCTGAGGCTCTCTGCCTTCTGGAAGGATGGTCAAAGCCTGATCACGGTTACACTGTTTTGCAGGCATAAATGTAAAAAAAATAATACATGCACATTTTTCCTTTATTAATGTGTGCACATTCCTTATATTATATGTAAAAGCTGGTTTATGCCTTTAAGATTAGGGAGGCAGAAGGTATTGCACACTCCACTTTTAGAGTAAAATACTTTATACTGTATATACCTTCAGCTGTCTGTATCTCTGGATCATTTTATACATTAGTTAAACTAAAGTTAAACATTAGTTATCTGCTAATGCGTATTTCACCAAATGTTCAGCTGGAATTGTACAGTTTTGTCATAGTTTTACTTAAAACTATGATACAATGTTTTAACATATTAGCAGTTATTCAGGAACAATGTACATTTTCATTCCATAAAGTAACATACTACTGAAACTTTATTCCGGCTGGTGTCCTACTTTCGAAGGTAAAAACAGTTAAAAGGGTTACTCCTCAGATATCTCCATTCTTCTTAAAGTGTATATAACCCCTTAAAATCGAACACAGCCTAGGGTGACAACACTGCTACTTCCTAGATACAGTACAGTTAATGTGTTATCACCATTGAACTAGAATAATCACCTGTCGGTACTACTTCTTTTGGCAAAAGTTTATATGTTTTGGTCGAGTATTGTCGATGGAGCATAGGAATTTCCTATGTTCCATGGCTTCATCTTGGGTCAGTAATGCTATGAAAATGTCTTTCGTCCAGCTATATGCCAGCAGTGGCAGAGGCTCAAGGCTGATAATTGCAAGGTAATTTCAAGTTGAAGATTATTTTAAGAAAGATAATTTGTATGAATGACCTTTTAAAGTCAATCGGCACGAGAAAAAAATAGTCTATAGAGCTAGAATGTTTCTGCCATTTCTATCAAGTGAACAAACCTTTTACATTTTAATTTTTTCATCCAAGTTAATGGAAGGATTGTACTTCTTGCACATTCCCTACAGCTACAAACATCATTGTAATATTATCGGACATTGTCATATGTGTAGCTTAGAATTTACAAATCTTTAAGTATATAAGATCCTTATCACTTCTGGAAAGATATTTTCTATGAAAGGTATACTGACAAATCTGGTACTTCCAGGTATGCGTGAGCATTTGATTACACACACATACCTTAAGTGAAAGTGCTAGGTGCCGCCATAGTGTAATCTATGACAAGTCATTCTCACACTTACCTCCTTTTGCCTTTTTCTTTTTTACAGCCCCAGCAGCTGGACAGAGTGCTGCAGGTGAGAGTAAAGGTTAGTACATGCTGATGGGGTGGGGTGAGTT